ATAGTCGATGCCGGCTAATCATCGTTACAGCTCCGTTGGTTCAATGTTAATAACAAAGCGTGCGAAAACGTTTCAGCGAATTCCTTGCATCGTCTTCGAAAAGGCGTCAACGGGGCTCTTCTCCATCCCGCTTCGCCACTACAATATTCTCTCCCGCGCAGAACCGAGCATCGTCGAAGGAGACGTTGGAATGATCGTCGTAAAGAACAACACAAAATCTTGACAATACTAAAAAAAAAGAACATTTTATTCTACGGCTTCGCGGGAAAGAAACCTGAACAAAGAACACGTTCTTCAGAGTGAAAATAAAAAAAAGGAAGCTGAAGAACAGAAAAGAAGAATAATATGCACACAAAAAAAGGAAAGTATGTTTTCGTTATATCAGAAAAAGAATAAAAAGAAAGCGCTGATAATATGCGATATAAAATGGCAGCTTACGGCTACAATAATAATAATAATAACTATAATGGCAACTCAAACGCGAATAAAATCGCGAGAACACGAAACTGAAGAAATCATGATTCGTCGCTGGAGGAGAAGATCACCATGCACTTCGGCGAGTGCATCACCGTTAAGCGTTGCTGTTCCTGCTGCATGTGCTTCATCCTGCATCGGTCCAGGTGTCGTTTGTTCACCGTGCCGCCGACCATGGTCTTGTTGCAGTATTCGCAGGTCGCGGTCATCTGGCAGTTGTTCCTTATATGGTACGTCAACGCTTTCCTGTCCTTGAATCGGGAGCAGCAGTTCGTGTTGTTGCAGACGTACGGCCGGTCCATCGGGTCCTTCGTGTAGAACTCGGAGTCCGGGTTCATGCGGCAGTTGCACTTCATGTGCCTGCCCAGCTGCCTCTTGCCGGGGAACTTACGGCCGCAGTAGTTGCAGGAGAACGACGGGGCCTCGCCCGTCTTCTTCGCGTCCACCCATTTGTCGTCCGACGACGCGTCGCTCTGGTTCCTGCGCCGGCCCTGGCTGCCGGTGCTGTTCCGCCGCTGGCCGCCGCCGGCGTCGTTGTCGCTGCTGTTGCGACGCTCGCCGCCGCCATCGCTGCTGTTGCGCCGCTCGCCGCCGCCGTCGCTGCAGTTGCGCCGCTCGCCGCCGCCGCCGTCGCTGCTGTTGCGCCGCTCACCGCCGCCGCCGTCGTTGCTGTTGCGTCGCTGATCGCCGGCGCAGGTGCTGTTGCGCCGCTCGCCGCCGGCGTCGTTGTCGCTGTCGCTGCTGCTGCTGCACAAGATCCACTGGGTCGGCCGGGTGTCCACCACGTCCCTCAGTTTCGGCCTGCGCGCTTTCGGCTCGACGATCGGCGGCGTCACCGACTGCAGCCGCCTGGGCCGCTTCTTCGACGTACTCATCATCACTCCAGGACTGCTCGCTTCGCTAGTCGTCTTGCACGAGACGGTCACACGCTTTCTCGCTACTTCTGGAACAATGGAGAGTGTGTTGAGTTTCGGAGGAGTGGGGGGACACTCTGCCCGGTTCGCCGGACACGGGGGACGAACGCGCGGACGAAAACATAAAAGAGAGAGAGAGAGAGAGAGAGAGAGAGAAAACAGAGCCATTGCAGTCGTTTTGAGTCGTGCGAGGGAGGGGAGGGGGAAGAATCGGGAGAATCGCGCGTCTCGGTTAATCTCGCTTTATTATCGATCGATTTATGGTTAGTACACTCGCTTTATGGTAGAATTAATGGCGCGCGCGGCTTCTTTATTCCATGGACGCAGCGGGCGGCATCTTCTCGGGCACCTGGCGAGCCGTGTCCGCGCGGGATTTTTGATCGCGAAGCAGACGGGAGATCCTGAAAACATCAAACAGCAGATCAGAGGACGAACGGGGCGGGGACGGCGTTCGGCGCGCGTCGATCGCGGTGCGACGGTGATAAAAAAATTACGTCGGTCGATATTTGTTCTTTTTTTCTTTTTCGTTTTTATTTTTCTTTCTTTTCTTTTTTGGTTTCGAGGAGAGAAATTTGCGAAATTTGACACTTGCAATATTTTATTGTGCGAATGAGTTACGGCTCGGAGACGATTCGCGACGGTCGTAACTCGTTCGACGCGATGTACAGTGCGTGTAGAAAGTATTCGTACAGATTTCAAAATTCAGCGAAACAGTCTACATTTTTAGGGGGGGGGGGGTGTTAGAGTGATTAGTTTACTAGACAAGGGCGAAAGAATTATTTTGAAAAATTGCAACTTGTTGGCGCGATGAAAGAAAGTTAAAAAGTTAGTTAAACGTCACTTTTTAATTTTTTCATCGCACCATCGCAAATTGCAATATTTGAAAATAACTTTTTTAGTGATTGTCTAGTAAACTAATCCTTCTGTTATCCCAAAACAAATTTAGACCGCGTGATTCAATTATAGAAAACTTATTCTGTTTCAAAAGGTGTACGAATACTTTCTACGCCCACTGTACAGTGGCCCACAAAAGTGTTCGCGCACCTTTTAGAACGCGATAACTTTTTCAAAACGGAACTGAATGACTTGAATTTTGTTTTTTAGAGGGACTAGTCTACTAGACGAGCACACAAATTACCAAGATCCGCGGAAGACATTTTTCAAACATTTCATTTAGAAGCTCGGATAAAAATTGAGAAAAAAAAGAAGCACTTCGATCATCGTCTACTAAACTACTCCCACCATCATCAAAAAAAAAACTCAGCTCACTTGGTTCACTTTTCAAACAGTTATTTTATTGTTCGAAAAGATACACGAAATACTTTTGTGGGCCACTGTACTTTCCGCTGAAACGAGCAAAATCCAGACCCAGACGATCGAATCTCCGATCGCTACCGTGCGAATCTTACAGGATTTGTTTAATTAAATTGTCAATGTACCCGGTCCATGGAACGGTCCCTCCTCTTCGTGGCATTCGAACGGAGAAAATGGCCGGCGTAAACGAGGGCCCGGTTGCTCGTTAGACGATTCATCGGGCGACCTCAGCGGGTCTGAAAGTTACAGGGTGGCCGTTGCCGGTGTTTCCTTAGGCTGCTGCTGTGGAGGAACGTTTTCCCGCAGACGGGGCACTTCTGCGTCCTGCCGCAGTCGTGTCTCACGTGGAAGATCAGGTGCGACTGTTTCGAGTAACAGGCGCCGCACTGGCCGCAGGAATAGGGCCTGCTCTTTTGCAACTGGTGGCAGGTGGAGCGCGGGTTCCAATAGCAGAAGGTATTCTGGTGGCTCCTCAAGTGGCCGGACAGGGTGAAACCTTTGCCGCAGTATTTGCAATTGTACTTTCTTTTCGAGTCGTCCGCCAATTGCTCTGCAACATGATCAACCAGCAAGAGATATCAGTCGGGATCGATCGGCAATGGGGCGCGGGACGCGATCGATTGATATATCGTAACGTGTCGCTCGTGAGCGGAATCGTTTTTCTTTTTTCGGCTTAAAGGAGAGGGTGAGAGCGTTCCCCGGGGGGCATTTAACGCTAGGGCTACCGAGGGGGTCGAAATGACTTGTTATTGTGGATTTCTTGCAATCATTTCATTTCATAATCCATTTTTAGATTTTGTTTTCTAGTATTTTGTATATATATTTTCTTTAAATATGCAAATCATTGATTTTGTAGAACAGTTCTCTTTCTTTCTTGTCGTTTCGATGCCGAATTTTATGCAGCCCCGAAAAATGTCTCGAAATACTGAAATGGGAGGTTCCTAAGGTCATTTGGAGCAACTTTTCCCTTTGCGGAAATGCGATCCGAGGCTTCGTTTACGAGTTATCAGCGAAAAACATTGACCAATGGGAGCGCGAGCTCGCTACTAGACCGCTAGGCCGTAGGTGGCCACGCCAATCGGCGCAACTGGGCGTCGACCGCTCGTTGGCTCGGCCGCCTCGCGCCGGCTGAGCTCGCCGCTCATTGGTCAGTGTTTTTCGTTAATAACTCGTGAACGGAGCCTCGGAGACAATTTTCGTTAAGGAAAAAGTCGCTTCAAATGAGCTCAGGAACCTCCCGTTTCCAGATCGCGAGAGATTTTTGGGATATCTTGTATACCGAGACGGGTCATTTCGACCCCCACGGAACGTAGGCGAACTTTGTGACTTCAGACGCTTCTTCTATTAATTTTGTATAGTTCAAATACATTTTTATAAAGCTAAGTATATCTTCGTACATCTGTCTTGTGCAAAATTGCCATAAGAGACGCGTTATATTTGCTCGATCTTGTCGTTCTTCTTTTACCATCTTCGCGTTGTTACGTCGCTGTCTCGCGTGTTCGTAAAGACGCGGGGTCCGGAATGTTTCTCTGAAACAACCGAGCAGCGATCGATTCGCCGGAATTCCTCGGCTAATTCGTTTCGACGAGAGAAACGAGAGAAGCCGACGTTCGCGAACGGATAAATTTGCATCGGTTTCGGAGGCGTGGAATAAATTCGTCGAGAACAGTCGAACGTGTCGTAAACCAGGAGCCGCGGTTACAGTCGACGAACGATTATTCCGGCCAGCGACGGATGTAAAAAGCGAACGTCTTGCAAACGCGTTTCCCTGCTTGGGAAAAGACGAAATGAGATCGCCCGTGCCCTCGGGCGAGTTCGTCGTCCTGAAACCGACGGAACCGTACATTGGTCGCGGGAGAACAACGACAACAGATAATTTCTTCGCAAGTTAAGCAACGAAACCGCCAACTGAAAGAACCTCCTCGGTTGGCAGCATTCGACGAAACAGGAGAGAATCGCCTAAACTCGCAAGATCAAAAAAGGACAACACGCCTCGCATCTCGACGATACTTTACAAAACAGAAAATTCTGCTCTCACCGTACACAAGAGCGAGCGTAATTACTTTCAAAATTATTCTCACTATGCTGTTACCTTTATTCAGCTTACATTCAACCTTCGCTGATGAAATAAGAAAAATATATAAAACCGTGAGAATTGTTATCTCCTTTTTCGGATGTCTTATTAACCTAAAAATGCAAGTCATTTTGACCCAAATGGTAGAAGCATGAATGTTAAACGGATTCGTGCACAGGAAACATCGACGAGGGAAACGGGTTAAGAACGGTGAAAGACGGCGATTAACAGAGTACATACACCTCTACACTTTAATAAAACGGTTACTGTGATATACATAGGCGTCGCCACGGGCTCGGCGACGGGAGAAGAAGCGCGGAAACAACAACGCTTCCCACGGGACAATTGTTCGTATTAAATAGGCTCTCGCGCATAAATAGAACAGCACGACAATGCTACGACAATTCATAACAATGCCTGACAAATAGCATGATACAAATAGCACGATAAATAGCATGCTCCGTGTTACAGTGGCGGCGGCCACACTTTTTCTAGACCGGCGGCGAGCTCTTCATTCGTCCGCCTCGAAAGGCGTGGGTGTGCGTTTCTCTCTCTCTCTCTCTCTCTCTCTCTCTCTCTCTCTCTCTCTCTCTCTCTACTCGTTCTCGACCAAATAGCAGGTCACTTTGTGCTTGCGCAGGCTGCTGCTGTGTAAGAACGTTTTGCCGCACCAGTCGCACTTCTGCGTTTTCCCGCAGTCGAACCGTATGTGCGACCTAAGGGACGTCTGTTTGCTGTAACTAGCGCCGCAAAGTATGCAGATGTACGGCCTCAGCTCCTTCGTCTGGTAATACACCGAATGCGGGTTAATGTAGCAATAGTTATTACGATGCTTGTTCAGAAACCTCGAGTGGGTAAACGACTTATGGCAATACTCGCACACGTGTTTCCGTCTCGACTCCGGTTCCGGAATCGTTTTCCTCCTTCCTGAAACAACGGTCGAAAAACAGCGAATTAAAAAAGCATTTATCGTGAAAAAAAGCGCCGTCCGGCCGGCTGATTTAACCTCTTAGGCACGACGCGCCACTATAGTGGCTCACTCTAGTATAGCTCTACTATGTGTCTCTCTCCGTTTGAATTAAATAATCATCTTCCTATGCATTGTTTCACGTTTCTTTTGTCTTCACATCGATTTACAACAGTGTCAATAATATACAGGNATTTAACCTCTTAGGCACGACGCGCCACTATAGTGGCTCACTCTAGTATAGCTCTACTATGTGTCTCTCTCCGTTTGAATTAAATAATCATCTTCCTATGCATTGTTTCACGTTTCTTTTGTCTTCACATCGATTTACAACAGTGTCAATAATATACAGGGTATATTCCCAAAAATGTCTCGCAATCCGAAAGTGGCGGGTTCCTCGGGTCATTTGAAGCAACTTTTTCCCTTACGAAAATTTTCTCCGAGGCACCGTTAACGAGTTATCAACGAAAAACAGTGACCAATGAGAGGCGAGCTCGGCCGGCGCGCAACGACCGAGCCAATGAGCGGAACTGGGCTTCGCGCGCTGCTTGGCTGGGCCGCCTCGCGTCAGCCGTGCTCGATTCTTATTGGTCGCTGTTTTTCGTTGATAACTCGTTAACGATACCTCGGAGAACATTTTTGTAAAGGAAGAAGTTGCTTCGAATGATCCAAGGAACTCGCCGTTTCCGGATTGCGAGACATTTTTGGGACACCCTGTATAGACGAAATATATACAGTATCAGACTCTGTACAGTACATATCAGAATCTGCCGTCCGGGGAAATAGTCTCGCGCAGAATTCACTCGTACCTAAAAGGTTAATAACCGTCTCGGTTAATCCCGTTGCCTTCGATATACTCTCGGCGATGAACGGTGGGGGGGGGGGGGNCTGCTGTGTAAGAACGTTTTGCCGCACCAGTCGCACTTCTGCGTTTTCCCGCAGTCGAACCGTATGTGCGACCTAAGGGACGTCTGTTTGCTGTAACTAGCGCCGCAAAGTATGCAGATGTACGGCCTCAGCTCCTTCGTCTGGTAATACACCGAATGCGGGTTAATGTAGCAATAGTTATTACGATGCTTGTTCAGAAACCTCGAGTGGGTAAACGACTTATGGCAATACTCGCACACGTGTTTCCGTCTCGACTCCGGTTCCGGAATCGTTTTCCTCCTTCCTGAAACAACGGTCGAAAAACAGCGAATTAAAAAAGCATTTATCGTGAAAAAAAGCGCCGTCCGGCCGGCTGATTTAACCTCTTAGGCACGACGCGCCACTATAGTGGCTCACTCTAGTATAGCTCTACTATGTGTCTCTCTCCGTTTGAATTAAATAATCATCTTCCTATGCATTGTTTCACGTTTCTTTTGTCTTCACATCGATTTACAACAGTGTCAATAATATACAGGGTATATTCCCAAAAATGTCTCGCAATCCGAAAGTGGCGGGTTCCTCGGGTCATTTGAAGCAACTTTTTCCCTTACGAAAATTTTCTCCGAGGCACCGTTAACGAGTTATCAACGAAAAACAGTGACCAATGAGAGGCGAGCTCGGCCGGCGCGCAACGACCGAGCCAATGAGCGGAACTGGGCTTCGCGCGCTGCTTGGCTGGGCCGCCTCGCGTCAGCCGTGCTCGATTCTTATTGGTCGCTGTTTTTCGTTGATAACTCGTTAACGATACCTCGGAGAACATTTTTGTAAAGGAAGAAGTTGCTTCGAATGATCCAAGGAACTCGCCGTTTCCGGATTGCGAGACATTTTTGGGACACCCTGTATAGACGAAATATATACAGTATCAGACTCTGTACAGTACATATCAGAATCTGCCGTCCGGGGAAATAGTCTCGCGCAGAATTCACTCGTACCTAAAAGGTTAATAACCGTCTCGGTTAATCCCGTTGCCTTCGATATACTCTCGGCGATGAACGGTGGGGGGGGGGGGGTGCGCCGGGGTTATACGTGTGTCGTAAAAACAGACGGTTTATTCGATGTGTACAAAAGCTACATGATTATTATTAGACGGTTACGTGGTTAATACGTGTGTAATAATGCGAGTATCGTCGCGTGATTAGATTGGTAAGAAGCAGCATCGGGGTTCGGATCGAGCGCAACGCGATCATTCACTGTTGCGCGTCGCTATTAATAATTGCACAATTAGTTGGATACTTTTCGTTTTGATTATGAAAACCACCGCGCGAGTCGAGCACTCCTTGCCGCGAAACGGTGGGCAAAAATATCTGGGTAACGGTTCTCGTGGTTAATTCTCTCTCTCTCTCTCTCTCTCTCTCTCTCTCTCTCTCTCTCTCTCGTTCGCTCTCTCAAGATCTCCCAAAATCATAGTACTTCCGGGAAACGATTCCCGAGGTCATCCGAAGCAACTTTTCCCTTTACAAAATTGTTCTCCGAGGCTCCGTTTACGAGTTATTAACGAAAAACAGTGACCAATGAAGGACGAGCGCGCCTCGCGCCCGGCGGCGGCGCGCCGCCCCGCGCCAACCCAGCTCGACGCTCATTGGGTCATCGTTCTTCGCGAATAACTCGCGAACGACGGCTCGCAGAAGATTTTCGTAAAGGAAAAAGTTGCTCCGTACGACCCCGGGAACCGTTTCCCGGTGGTACCATGACCGCGGGACGCCTATTATATTTATTTAACTATTCATTTCTATACAACATACTCGTATAACTTGAAAAACTTCAACGTTTCAAACGACGAGCGTACACCGATCATTCTCAACACCGGGAATTACGGCGCATTTAATCAACACCGGGGGCTCGTTGCGCGACGTTCCACGCCCGCGGCCGTTTCGATCGGCGTCTCGAACCACGTGAGACAATATTGCGGCCGGATCTCTGTTCGAAACGCGACGAGAAATTCGACGGAAATCCGCGAAAAGAAGGATCGAGACGAGCCTGGATATCTTCGGAACGAGGAAGGCGACACGGTCGAGAACGTATCTTGGGATGGGGTGTAGAGAGGGGTGGGGGGAGTAATTAAAAGTCGATGGGATCCAGGACAATTTCGTTCTTCATGCCGGCGTCGATCTTCAGGGAGGACGCGAGATCGTTGTCGTCCTTCGCTTGGGTCAGCTTGTCGACTATCCGCCGGAACGGGCAGTAACGGGTCTTGTGGTTGTAGAGGCTGGTCCGATGGAGGAACGTTTTGCCGCAGTGGGCGCACCGCTGCAGCTTGCCGCACTCGTGGCGCACGTGCCACATCAGGTCGTTCTGCCGCGAGTAGTTCGCGCCGCAAACGCTGCACGCGTACCGACCGACCTTCCCCGTTTTGCAGAGCTGCGACTCGGGGTTCAAATAGCACCGGTAGTTCCAGTGCGCCTGCAAAAAGCTGGCACTGGTGAAACTCTTCCCGCAACGCTTGCAGCTGTAGCCGCGCGTTTCGTCCTGTGGGTCGAGCGCGTCCGAGTCTCGCTGCCCGGTCTCTGCAACATGATCAAACCGTCTATCAGTGCTGCTGGCATCGTGGCGGCCCCGTTTTATCTCGCCCGGGCCCCGCGGGGCCCGCCTCTGCCTCTACCGGCCTCTGCGCGCGCGCGGCCGTGCGCCTTCGCGAGAATTATCCGCGCGTTTCCGCGTCGGCCTCGCCGTCGTCGGCGCGACGCCTGCGACGTGCTCGAATAAGTTTCGTGAACGCGCGCACGGCCGCGCGCGGCGAGCACTCGGAATATTCCGCGCGGAGAAAAGCTTCGCAGAGTTCGTCGGCGCCGTTTTAATTCGACTCGGACAGAATGTACACGGCGTCTGTTTCAAACTGTTTTTATTGCATTGTTGCTGGTGACAGGGGTTCGCTGTGTGATCGCAGGTCGTGGCGACTTTCGAGATGAAATGTGGGGGAAAACGTTGGGAAAGCGTGAAAAAGTCACGCGAACTTCCCGCTCGCAGATTGTAATTATAATTCAATTCTATTCGTTGCGTCGAGATTGCAAAAATGACCCGTCGGATTTTTGAAGCGTTTCGTTCAACTATCTTCGCGCTACTGAAACCTAAATGCGTACGGTTGTCGCTGACTCTGCGCATTGCATGCCGGTACACGCTAAATATATAGACGTTCATAATAAATGCAGAGTGTAATTATGTTAAGATTTTGAAAGGAGAGACTCCTGAGGTGATTCGAAGCAACTTTTTCCTTTGCGGAAATGCGATCCGAGGCTCCGTTTACGAGTTATCAGCGAAAAACGCTGGCCAACGAGACGCCGGCTCGGCTGACGCCACGCCCTAGTGACCACTACCGCCGCGTCGCGCCGACCGGCGCTCCGCCCACCGCGACGCGCCGGCCGCTCTCGCTCTCCGATTGGTTTCACGTTTTCCGCTGATAACTCGTGAACGAAGCCTCGGAGAACATTTTTGTAAAGGAAAAAGTTGCTTGAAATCGCCTCCAGAATCGATCTATCACGGTCTCGACATAATTACGGAACACTCTGTATCGCGCGAAGTGTCATAAAATGTAAATATCGTCCAACAGGAGTTCCGTTCCGTTTAAATGTAACGCCTACGAGAAATTCTCGTTTTTAATTTGAATGCACTTCTTTCGGTGACGGCAATAGCTCGCACGATACGTGAAATTCTTGGAGCAGTTCGCGCAAACGTATAGTTTGCCGCAGTCGTTTGTTTTGTGCGACTTCAAGCTACGGTAGCAGAGGAACTTTTTATTGCACGCCGAGCATATGTACAAGTCGATCGGATTGCTAGCCGCGGTTTCGCATTTGTACGGTTCCTGCGAGAACATCTTCTGATCTACGAACTCCGGGTCTCCCTTCGGCTCCTTACGGCGAAGCCCTGAAACAAAATTAAAGGAGACGTTCTTTTAAGTTCCGTAAGACAGTTCGCGCGAACGCGTGCGCTCTCTCGGTCCGGTTCGACTCGCGCTAAGTGCTCGCCGGAACGTGCAACGTTTTTGCCCTGTGCAGCGCGCTCGAAACGATCGGTTTCAGTTTCGACGAATATTCGAAAATTCGTCCGGTTCGCGAGAGCTTTCGACTTCGAACAACGGTGGCGCGACATTGTCGCTTGTTGCGGATATTATTCTGCGACAATGTAATCTCGCATACGTTTGTGTTTCGTAGGCGCGAGAGCGTGGAAAGAAAATTTCACCACGGCTGAAAAGAGAACGAAAAGGCACACTCCTATCGTGACGACATTTTTCAAGATTACCCGGTGATTATTAAGCCCTTTGCCTTACGATCACGTCTGGGAAACGTGGTCAGATAATCGGGCCAGAAATAATCATCAGGTCTGAGAGACGTAGTCAAAAAATCGAACCAGAAATAATCATCAAGTCTAAGAGAGGTGATCAAGAAATCGGACCAGTAATAATCATCACGTCTGA